CATCAGCTTTTCGTTCCCAGAGCCTCATCATTATGGACTGAGCAGCGACCGCTTCCACTCACGTCATGCTGACGTCATTCCCTTCATGTCAATGCTTAATTTGTCAGCCTTGTTAGCTTGTGTGAAAAGTCCCCGGCATCTAGGCTTACACCACATACACAGCCTCTGTTCTAACAGGCCCTGAATGGCAAGGTGATGCTGAAGGTTAGGAGTGGTTAGTGTGTGCGTGTGTGAGACATCCGTGAAAAGACAGAAGTGGGAATGTGTGTGAGTGGGAATGAGGACAAAAACACCAGCGAGCTAATCGCACTGTGGGCCTCCTGGCTGGGTCAAAGGCGATCGATCATCTTGTCACCCATGAAGACAAAAAAAAAAAAAAAAAGCATATTTTCTAGTCAAACAGCTACGAATGGGACGCAAAGTGCCAAGTCATCTCCACAATGGAACAGTTGCCGCTGTCAATCAGCTGTCTGTAGCTCTGCGGAGGATCATTCACAGATGAACAATAGCCTTCAGTGTTGGCTTACTGTAAATAGTGTTGATTAGCGTGTCGGTAAAGTGTCACTTTAGCGCTCTCGCTGGGGGCTCAATGTGACGGCGGCCATAAGGATCTCACTTGTCACTCAAATAGTTTATTAGCATTACACTGCAAGACTCCGTCATTTCTCATTGTTATTCTAGGGTATGGGAAAACTTTTCTACTGGGATTTTGAAAGCTTTGCATTAAGTTGTTGCAGGTTATAAACAACTGCAATATGCATGTCAAGCCAAAAGTCACCAATCTCACTGGTAATGAAACACTACGATCAAGCAGACCGACTGCTTGTCCTTATCCAAAAGCAAATTTTGAAATATACTTTGACCGTGCATATAAGTGTATATAAAATACTTTAGACTTCGATAAATGTCTTTGGCTCCCAGAAACGCAGGCTCAGACAAAAGGCAATCACAAAAAGATTACAGAAAAGTGCACGGACAAAGTACAAACAAAAATCTCTGATCACAAAGAGATGGGATAAAACAATGAAGAAACAAACAGCGCTTGCAAAAGTCAAGGTTCAAACAGAATATACAAACGAAATACCAACAGTCCAATTACACGAAAATAATCAAGAGCAATAATAAAATAACGGAAACACTGACAAACAAGTATCTATGGACAAAATGAGAGTGACTGAATAGTATCGAGGGTTCTACAAAATAACACTTGAAGCACAACATTGAGCGAGGTCAATAAGCAGACAAAAGCTTTGGCAACTTGGCAGTCATGAAATATTAAGAGAGGCTTGATTGGAATTACAGAACAAGTGCGCCTGCTACGGGGAAACATCCTTCACTCCATCTGGAGCCGAAACACAAACAAGCACACAGAACATGATAGTTCCGGAACAGAATCGGACTCTTTAAACGTAGACTCAGATAAATATCTACAAAAATATTTATTTTTACAGAGGAGTAGCGCGAAGCCAAAGTACAAATAATGACGCAGACAGGCACACCAAGAGAGAAAAGAGAGAAACCAAAAGCACTAGCAAAAGGCCAGGAAAAAAGTACAAATGAAAATAACTTGTTAACAAAAGAACAAGATGATCCAATCGCATAAATATCTAAAACGAGCCTAATCGGAAACACAAGAAAACTACTCACTGCAAAACAGAGATCAAAAGCAAAGAACGAGAATACGGAGCAACATCAAACATGTCGAGAAAACCTCACATGAACAATGAGCAAGGAGAATTATCCAATAGTCAGTTGTCGCCTGGGCTGTCCTTAGACAGTCCATGATCCCAATGAGTGACAGGTGAGCAGCATGGGCCATCTCACCATCAATCTCAAATTGTCAGTGTACCTGCGACTCCTGGTCAGCAGGGCCGGGATTTGTTGGAGTCAAGCGTTCACCCAGATTTGGGTGATTTGTGGAGGAAGTTGTGTCTGACTTATAGTTGCCAAAAGGGTGTAGAAGGTCTAGATGGGCGTGAAGGACGTAGAGGGCAGGAGGCGATACGATGACCTGGTGGCAATCAGACCCCGGATTGGAATCAACTTCGTCTCTCCTCAAAGTCCAGAATACCTCCTCCCAGCTGCATAGGCTCCACCTCAGGCACCGCAGGCACAGGTACAGGCACCGGTCGACGCTCGGGCATGGTGGCTTGTACTCCCTCCTGGGTTTCTGGTCCACGGAGCACAAGTGTCTTCATGGACGGCCAGTTCGTCTTCGAGGGAGGAACTCCATCCGCAGCGGAAAATGGTACGTAAAGCCCAGTCCTCAAAGCCACTTTCTGCCGCTATTATACGAAAGTTTATTGAGTTATCAGCGAGCGACTGATTACCCTGAACACAATCCATTAACCGACCTCCGGCCTCCTTCCTACAGACAGGGTGGTGGAACACTCGACGGAATTCGGTAATGAAATCCGGGAAGGAGGACCCAAATTTGGATTGTGCGTTGCTCACTGCCATAGCTCACAAACTCGCTTGGCCAGTCAACAGACTCATAATGAAGGAAATACTAGTACTATCAAGTGCAAATATAGATGGCTGCTGGAATTGATTGCAAGCAACGGGTTCGCCACTCGAACGAGTCGGGCGAGGTAAGTTAAGCTCACGACTAGGTCGCACGGGAGGAGTTGCAACAACAGGCGACAGGCAATACTTGGCAACCTAGTTGGTCAATACGAGACCCTAAAGCCTCGAACCGATGGGCTAGCTGGGCAACTGCACCGCGGAGCTCCGCTAGCAGAGCCCTGCTGTCCCACCATTCGTCCTTGGCTGGCCAGCGCGGGCAAAACTTTATCCGGGTCGACAGAGTCCATTGTTGGATAATTCTATAAGGGTCCCAAAAGGTTCCGGACTCTACAAACATACACTCAGATTTGATCCATTTTCAGTATACATGGCAATGATTTAATAAAATGGAACATTTTGCATCTTTGTTCCCCTTACTATGGTCGCCATTCACACGGAGAGACAAAAATGCCTGAAGACACATACCCCTTTTTAGAAAATATGCATATTTGCATTGCTTAGTCAGACACCATAAATGCACTTTATTAAAAAAAGGTTTCCTCCCACATTCCGAAAACATGTATGACAAGGCTGACTGAACACTCCAAATTGTCCCTCGGTGTGGTTGTGAGCGCAAATGGTTGTTTTTCTATGCGTGCCCTTGCGATTGGCTGGCAACCGATTCAGGATGTCCCCCGCCTACTGCCCGAAGACTGCTGGGATGGGCTCCAGCACCCCCCGCGACCCTAGTGAGGATAAGCGGATTGGAAGATGAATGAATGAATGAATGAATGAATGACATAACGGAATACAAACACCATCTTTTGAAATCGATTCACACTCTCACTAGTATTTCTTTCTGTCACTCCGGGAGACATCCCCAGTATCCACTAAGCACAGCACAAAAGTGGATCTCACGACATTAACCCTTTCAGGGACAGCGGTTACTTCAGTGGACAGCTTACCATGTTATCAGGTTACAGGTGCAAGAAACACCATAAATGCACTTTATTAAAAAAAAAAAAAAAAAAAAAATCCCCTTTTCCATCTCCTCAACATCATTGGACTGCAAAGCTAGAACCACACCATATTTATCCATTTCTATTTTGAAACGCTGTCCTGTAAGCCTTTCCTTAATGTTTGAGAGCAATTCTCCAACGGAGAACTGGGGGATCGTTTTTATCGCCCACTTCCACCAGACATCGAAGTTGCAAATTCTGTACATGCAGGACAGGAGATGGAAGACCTCTGCATCAATTATTCAAATTCAAAGAATAAACATGATGTCTCAATAACACTCTCATACTCGCATTTCCTAGTCGGAGTAGTTGGAGACGGCTGAATTCATGCTGTTATGCAAACAAGCCCGGTTCCCACTGGGATGGCGGAACAAGCTTTTATACTTAACTGCCTTGTCAGCAGGGAGGAGCCAACAGGCCAATGTTTGGAGGTCTGGAAAGAATTTGATGAGCCAACACTGGGACTTAATATTTAATATATTGTCTGCTAAAATTCTCTTCAGAACTACAATATATAGTTTAGTTTATTTGTTCAAATCAAATCAGTGCTCGCCTTGGCCACTTGGGGTAAATTATCGTACAAGGCAAATACTATTCATTGAGATGTCTGAAATCCTCTTGGCTCATCAGTATGGCACTAATATTAGTTTTTCTACGCAGGGATAAAGAATAAACAACTTAGAACTATTCAATTTTCTTTATCCACCAACCCAGTCTACCCAAAGTGATTATTTTTTATTTTTTTTAAATGAATTCATAACGGCTTTGCATTGGGCAACAACAATTTTGTTCACTCGCTGTCAATCTCAGTAAGAATCAAAGAGTACTCTGTCACAGTTGATTTGTTTGGGACCAACAAGTGGCTCTGTCGGGCTCCTCCTACATCGGCACACCTGTTGGTCATCACATCATTAGTAGGTTTCCTGTTAAAAGGACTACAGGCCCGACCACTTGGTGTCGGGTCATTGTTGCTGCTGTCATTGTTGCTGTCACTGCTTTTGTTGGTTTGTGTTTATCACGTCATCTTGTTTTGCCTTTGCCATGAGGTTTGTTGTTACTTTGAATTCTTGTTGTTTTCAGGACTTTGTTCTGGATTTAGTTTTCTCAGTGTTTTGTTCATACAGTTTGCCAAGTTCACCCTACTCCTCCCTCTTGACTGCTTTTTGGGGTCCTCCATCACCATGTCTGTGACATACTCTGTATCTCTACAGAAAATGTTCTATTGGATCTCATTTGATTGTGCACAGTGAGGTGTTTAGTGTGTCAAAAATCAATATACAGATCCAGCTGGGCAGGCAGACATTGATTTATGGTGATTGGCTCACATTTCCAGTTTAAAAGTGCAAGGTCAGCTGCTGCCTATGCAACGTAACGTAATCTACATGATAAAACACCACTGCTAACTACATCCCGAGCAAGAAAGCAGCCATCACAGCCGGTTCTACAACTTCATCTTTGAAATGTTCATCTGCTAACCTGCTGTTGAACTTCTCCGGGTGCTTCTCCCTCATCAGATGGAAGCGATGGGCGATGGAGGCGTCCTGTGAGAGGAAAGAACATACAGAGCTTTACCATCAATGATGCCACAAGTCACGAGTGTTTAGTGATCCTCATTGTTGGATAAGGGTCGCTGATGGTGTCGTGGTACACTTGTCTGACTTGTGTGAGGGCAGCATGGGATAAATTCCCACTCAGTGACAGTGTAGAAGCGGGTGTGAATAGTTGTCTCTACTGTATATGTGCCCTGTGAGTGACTGGCGACCAGTTCAGCGTGTCGTCTGCCTTCTGCCCGAAGTCAGCTAGGATAGGCTCCAGCAACTCTTTGTGACCCTGTTCGGGATAAGCGGTGTTGAAATTGGATGAATGGATTGTTGGACAAATAACTGACACGAAGGAAATTGTGTCAACAATTTCCTGCAAAAATGTAATGGGATCTTGGTTCCTTCTGTTTATTTACTCGACATCAGAGCTTCTCAGGCATCTATCGAGTTTCCTTATGCCTTACTGTTGATACCATTTATCTATTCTATCTATTTTCCGATCCACTTATCCTCACGAGGCAGGTGGTGGAGCCTACCCCAGCCGTCTTTGGGCAGTAGGCTAAACTGGTTACCAGCCAATCGCAGGGCACACAGAGACATCCGCGCTGACACTCACACCTAGGGACAATTTCGAGTGTTCAATCAACCTGCCATGCATGTTTTTGGAATGTGGGAGGAAACTGTAGTACCCGGAGAAAACCCACGGGGAGAACATGCAAACTCCACACAGGAAGGCCGGAGCCGGAATCGAACCCACGACCTCTGCACTGTGAGGTCGACGCGCTAACCACTGGATCACCAGGCTGCCCTGATACCATTCATTACTGTTCAATTGCACAACATAATCAATACACCACAACTGGCCTCAACATTTGCTGTAGTAATATATTTATTGCATCAACCTTGTAATGACGGACACATTTGCATCTTCAATGCGCCATTGTCAAAATGTTAAATGTTAAAATGATAAGACTTTAAGCCTGTGTCTCACGAAGCGGTTCACGAGTGTTTGCGCACGGTTGCTGGTTTTTCACCACGGTTCGTTCAGGGTTGCAAAGAGGTTTGCTAAACATTCGCAGTTTTAATGGTCACAGTCGAAAAAACAACATTCACTACATCCTCCAACACGAGCTGGCCTTCATCTCTCAGTGAGATGCGGCTTTTACCGATTTTGCTTTCAAACGTAGGACTGAAAGCAAGTCTATTTCAACAGATTTATTAGATCTCAAAATTATCAGCTGGTGGTCTGCATCCTGGCGAGTGTCGTGAGTCCTCCAGCAAGGCAGCAAGAACGAGTTGCCAGTTTTACATTTTGTGCCCATCGGGACTCAAACCGTAGCACTTCAGCTCCAAATCCAGATGAGTTATTGTTGCCCCAAAATTAATAATTCTGGATATCAAATGAATGACTACCTACGGATCCACCCTGCGCAAGGTATAAATCCCACAAAAATGTTGTTGCCAACTCTCTGTTAACATTTTTTGCTCATTCTTGATCTTTATTTGGGATTACTTGTACCTAATGTTAATGAGCTACTATTGAGGAAAACTTCTTTGGTCAGCTATACAGATGCCATGGACTGGATGTATTTTGTCGAAAGAGACATCTACTGCAACAATAGACAAAGTCATTACTGTCTCGAGTAAACTCTTACCAATACAGGAACACTATTTTGAGGCAATGTGGTAACCTGACATAAAACCTCGGTTCGTCCGAGGAGGAAGCTATGGCTCATGATCCCTTGACGTTGTGTGTTGTGTATCAAATAAAGTGATCTGCTCATGAGTGTATGCTGTGTATCAATTAAAGTGATCTGCTTTAATTGGACGGTGGAGTGATCTTAAGCAGAGGCACCGGGGACTGGGAAAGAGGCCTGTTTGTGGGTTTAAAAAAAAAAAATCAACAGCAGCCTCTAAGCAACACATTAGATGAAATAATGGCAGAGACAATATGTCACAAGATCATACATACAATATTGTCAAATGTATCAAATCTGGGTTATCCAAAGCTTTTGTCTTTGTGTGTTTGTACAGAATAATGACATCATCTGCTGCTGCTCCAAAGTGTCTAACAAGAACATAAGTTAATTTACTTCAAGTGCCTCCTCACGCACAAAACCACTGCCACGATAAATAGGGTAAAAGCTTTTTGTCTTTCTACTTTGCTGTCGCATGTAGAGTAAAACGAAATATATCAACTCACTGGCCAGTGGCCACTTCATTAGGCACATCAATACGATCAAATAAAGAGCTCTGCTATGAGAAAAAAAGTACTGGTAACCTGAACCTGAACCTTAAGCGTTGGATCAGAAACTTCCGTTTGAACAAGATGTCAATTGTGGCGGTTGTGGTTTGTAATGGTGTACAACTGTCCTGTGATATCCTAAGACATAAAAACGACAACAACAACAAAAATAATTCAAACAAGCAAAACAGGACTTGGGGCTTGGTGGATGAGCGATCCGCAGGGCTGAGCTCAGAGCTCCCATTTGACCAACCTTCATATTCTGTTTAAGCATCCATCCATTTTCAACACTGCTTATCCTGAACTGGGTCGCAGGGAGTTGCTGGAGCCTATCCCATCTGACTTCCAGGCAGAAGGCAGACTACACCCTGAACTGGTTGCCAGCCAAATGCAGGGCGCACCTAGATGAACAACCATCCGCGCTCACACTCACACCTAGAGACAATTTAGAGTGTTCAATCAGCCTGCAAGTTTTTGGAATGTGGGAGGAAACCGGAGTACCCGGAGAAAACCCATGCAGGCACAGGGAGAACATGCAAACTCCACCCTGCACCTCTGCACCATAAGGCCGACCTACTAACCAGTCAACTACCAGGCCGTTGTAAACAACTTCAACAGGGAAAATAATTATGTTTACAGAGATTCAAGTAAATTTTGCATGTGGATTTTTTTTTTTGCACTGCTTCCAAACCTGCCCTCATTTTTTGTGTTCCACATCAAGTTTTCATAATAATAATAATAATAATAATAATATCATCATAATACATTTTATGATATTTATGAATTAAGGGTAAGGCTCAGCAACAGGTGGATTTTTTTCGGAAACGTCATAGCTAGAAATTATAATGCATGGTAAAATCCGTATTGCCCAAGCTTTAATCAGTCAAACATCAAAACAAAAAAATGGAAAATATTTCAAAAGCCTGATGTGCTGGAATTTTTTTTTTTTTTAAATCACCAACAAAAGTACATTTAGGAACACAATGAACCATCTCAGATTCTAATTGCAGTGTTATCAAAAACAGATTAGAAAAGGAGTAGAGGAACTGTAGCCAATTAAAATCTTTGTACAAGCTTATATTATATCCCCAATTAGGATGATGTCAATTTTAAATATATACACGATGAACTTGAGAAATAGTTTAACCATGTGTGTGACGAACAAATGGAAAATGAGCTGAATGAGGACGTCCCAGATAGTAGATGGGGTGACATGTGGAGGGCTCATTTTGCCGCACCTCATTCGCAAGGTTGAAGGGATTTTTTTTTTTTTTAGGGGAGGAGAAGAACCAAATTCGCAATGTCATAACACCTAAAATTACAGGGACCTGAAATTATGGAGAAACGCTTTCATGGTGACGCAATTGTGCTGGAGATTACGTGATCGGGTCGACCCCAATCATTTTTCATGTCTTCTGGAATTGTACGAAGATCAGGCCGTTCAGGCCAGCGAGACCATTCACTTCTTGATAAAGTGTTGGGGTATGGTGTACCATTTACATTTCAAGAGCTGTATCTTGGTTATATACTGTATAAGGCATAGTTTGTAAAAGGGACCAATTCTCCTCTCTGCAGGGGAAAAAGAGAAATTTAAAACATGGCAGAAGGTGAACACGCCAACAGTACGGCGGTGGAGGAAAATAATCGACGATATAAGGGACATGGGATGGACTGACATAAAATCAGACTAAAAGAGGGACAGCTTGAAAGATACTGGGACTTGATTAGATTCTCTCCTGCCTAAATTTTGAAAAATAGCCCGAAGTGGAAAGAAGAATTTTAACTGTCAGAATGATGGTGAAAAAATGTTTTATCGTCTGGATAAAAACTGCTCTCTGATTGTACAGAATGCAAATGTCTTGAATGGCTCGATAAGTGTTAAAAAAAAACCCCAACAGAAATACCAATTTCAGCGGTATTTGGGGAAGCTATAATGCAATATAGCTTATCCATAGGAATGAATAACACAAAACAACACAAACTGCTTGTCAATCAGTTAAAGAGCGTCCAGCATCACCCAATAAAATTCAATAAAAAGTGAATGATAAAGCTGCGCAATGATGCATTAACTATGTTGGTAAGTAAGTCTCTCTTGTTGTGCTCAGAACCTTATATGGATTTTATCGGCTGGCTGCAAGATGCCACCTCAAGCGCGGCCTGATAGACACTGATGCGTCGATCGGACGACATCAGCAAATTTCAAGTCTCAAAATAGAAGCGGCAGCGCCGCTTTAATTGGCAGAGAACTTGAAACCCGCTGAGCGACGGGACATCACAGGCAATCTGATGGACTGAGAGGAACCATGAGGAATGTTAGGCTTTTATTGTCGTGTCTCACATGTCGTGAGACACGACAAGGTGACTGCAATGACAACAATGAGGCACAAATGTGGAAAACATGGCAGAATTATTGGAGGGAGGACAATAAAAAGGCCTCGGGGTGTGCATGTGAGCATTTTTTTTTTGTTTGTTGTTAATTCATTTGGGTTCAGGATTCGACAAAACTTTCCAAAACAAGACTGGCTGTCACATCAGAATATATTTGCTGTCAGTTTCAGTCGCCGCTAGCATCAAAGTTGTTTTGATTCGAAAGTTGTTGATACAGGAAATGGAATGGAAAAGGACAAACCAACATGAGTCCATGGACAGAAACATTTTCAAGCTAGTTAGCAGGCATGAGATGAGCAACAAGTGTGGGTGTGTGTGATAACAACGACACATCCCCAAAATTAGTGGTGAGCAGTCACGGCTAGCG